AAAAACCCACAACGGTCACAGAAATAACTTGAATCTGACAAAAGTAATAGATAAAAATTCAATGAAAATTAAGCAATGAAAATCAGACATTGCTTTTGAACCGTGATTTAACAGAATTATTTAAAAAAATAAACTCATGAAACAGGCCTGGACAAAAATGATGGTACCCCTGGAAAACACTGAAAACAATGTGACCACAGGGACATGTTCAATCAAGGTGTGTCCTCTAATTAGCATCACAGGTATCTACAAACTTAATCAGTCAGTCGGCCTATTTATAGGGTTACAAGTCGTCACTGTGCTGTTTGGTGACATGGTGTGTACCGCACTAAACATGGACCAGAGGAAGCCAAGGAGAGAGTTGTCTCAGGAGATTAGAAAGAAAATTATAGACAAGCATGTTAAAGGTAAAGACTACAAGACCATCTCCAAGCAGCTTGATGTGACTACAGCTGCACATATTATTCAGAAATGTAAGATCCATGGGACTGTAGCCGACCTCCCTGGACGTGGCTGCAGGAGGAAAATTGATGACAAATTGAAGAGACGGACAATACAAATGGTAACAAAAGAGCCCAGAACAACCTCTAAAGACATTAAAGGTGAACTCCAAGGTCAAGGTACATCAGTGTCAGATCGCATCATCCGTCATTGTTTGAACCAAAGTGGACTTCATGGGAGACGACCAAGGAGGACACCATTGTTGAAAACAAATCATAAAAAAGCCAGACTGGAATTTGCCAAACTGCATGTTGACAAGACACAAAGCTTCTGGGAGAATGTCCTCTGGACAGACAAGACAAAACTGGAACTTTTTGGCACATCAGCTCTATGTTCACAGATGCAAAAAAGAAGCATATCAAGAAAAGAACACTGTCCCTACTGTGAAACATGGAGGAGGCTCTGTTATGTTCTGGGGCTGCTTTGCTGCATCTGGCACAAGGTGTCTTGAATCTGTGCACGGTCCAATGAAATCTGAAGACTATCAAGGTGTTCTGGAGAGAAATGTGCTGCCCAGTAGCACAAAGCTTGGTCTCAGTCGCAGGTCATGGGTCTCGCAACAGGATAATGACCCAAAAAACACAACTATAAACACCCAAGAATGGCTCAGAGGAAAACATTGAACTATTCTGAAGTGGCCTTCTATGAGTCCTGATCTAAATCCTATTAAAATCTGTGGAAGGAGCTGAAACATGGCGTCTGGAGAAGGCAGCCTTCAAACCTGAGACAACTGGAGGTGCACAGGTCTCATTGACAGTTATAGAAATCGTTTGATTGCAGTGATTGCCTCAAAAGGTTGTGCAACAAAATACTAAGTTAAGGGTACCATCATTTTTGTCCAGGATTGTTTCATGAGTTTATTTTTAAAATAATTCTGTTAAACCACGGTTCAAAAGCAATGTCTGATTTTCATTGGTTGATTTTCTTTTAGAAGTTTTTTTTTGTGCCTTTGTGCCTTTATTTGATAGTGATAGTGAGAGAGAGACAGGAAAGTGGGGGAGAAGAATAGAGGGAGAACATGTGGGACAGGGCCATGAGCGGGATTCGAACTCATGACCTCCACATCGGGACTGTGGCTCTGTACATGGGATGCCAGCTCAACCAGGTGAGCTATAGCGGCGCCCTTTATTGGTTAATTTTCATTGAATTTTTATTTCTTATTACTTTTGTCAGATTCAAGTTATTTCTGTTAACTTCCTGTGCGAGGTAATGAACTATCGCGTGAGGAAGTGAGACCTTTCTATGTTTTAGTTCGGTCCGGCAATGAACATGGCGGTGAAAATAAACTTGCTCGGAAACTACAGACGTTGTGTTTTTAGCATTTACAATTTCTGTGACCATTGTGGGATTTCTTTCATTAACCGAGGGGTACCAACAATTTTGTCCACGTGTGTATTCTGTGTTGGAGAGTTGTTTGTACATAAGCATTTACATAACAAAGAACACAGTTGTAGCTGTTGTTCTACTAACTGATATGAGAAAGGGGAATAAGGTGTTCAGTTCCAACACAATATTCAGCCCCTATGCGGCGAGTACCTGTCTGAACTGGGCAGAGTAGTTTTTGAACTGGTTGAACTTTGACTCATCATTGTGGAGGTATTTCCTGATGGACTGGATCAGGTCCAGGTTCCTTTGGTGGAAGTCCTCTGGCACCAGGTAACCACTGTTTGACACCTTGGGGGGCCTGAGAAATAAGACAAATGTTTTTTTTTTTAAAGCTACAATGATTATTTGACAAGGCAAACAGTGTAATCGGGGAAACTGATGATCTTATACTAGAGATTATCTTAATTTGACATATGATCTGCTTTTCATCACACAGATCATGTCAAAAAATGAATAACAGCTTTCCTAGCCCACATTAGCTAAGTAAAAGTGAGGAATAGCAGCGAGCAGCAGACCAGCAATCTGAAAGTGGTGAATTCTTCTATCAAAAACTGTGCAGACTGTGAACATAGATAATTACAGATTAGGTGCATGAGGTAATTATGTGAGCACCATCTCTGACACTTGTCAACATTCTGTTTAATCCCTTAATAGATTCATTATGCAGCAGGTATAGAGGTCAGAGACAGTGTAAGGTTTCTTTGCTGTATCTAAGCTTTTGTTTCTCTGTTTTCTCTTCATACACTGGTAACCTTGTTAGCTTGATGTACAGCATCGTGCATTTTTTGCTCTCATTATTTCTAGGGCTATCATTGTTTTAATATGTGGGGTTAGTTCTGGCTGTGCATTTGAAAGCAATACTTTTCTAACATCTAGTAATACATCGTCAGATGTTTATCCATAAATGCTGCAACTTAAGAGGAGGCAGTTTTCATGTTCCCTTTCTTTGTGGTTTAATTTTAAAACTACCACAGCTATGTATCTGCGCAACAAGCAACTATCTCAAATAATTTCTCCTTTAAAGAAGCTACACATCATTTGACTCTGTGCTCTCTGATAGGAGTTCTGTAGCAATAAATACAGATAATCCAGCCAATCTTACAGGACATAAACTCAACAAGCATCAAAGAAGTGGAAATACAAACCACCACCTCGGAGCATAACTTTCAGAATAAAGTCAGAACGAAAACAGGATGCAGAGATTTGTGAGTTGGTCTCCTGGCAGCCACACACACAACAAACCATGTGATCACATGCTATATCGTCACATGGCCTTCTAGTCAGATCGCCCAGCCCTATATATACTGCAAAAAGACTGAGATGTGCTCACGGGTTGACTGCAGAAGGTGCAGGCTCCACCACATTGCTGTTGAGAGGAATCCCTGTGAATCCTGGTGGAGGTTTAGGGGCAGAGATTCCCAGGCCCGGTGGAGGAGGGGGCATTGTGGAGGATGGTGCAGAAGTTGAGGCCTTCAGTGGGAAAGAGGTCTTGAAGCCTAAGAGATAAACACATTATGAGACAACCCACTTCTGCAGAACACCTGAAAAAGCATAATCAATTCTGTAAAAGACGTCTGCTGGCCTGCTGCAGCAAACAATATCACATCTGTTGTGTTTAGGCAAACTAAATATCAGTTTTGTGAGCACCACGAAGTGAGACATTTTATCACCAAAGTGTACTGCAACTGCATTTCCAGCTTTCTCAAAATTTTCACACTGCATAAATTTGATGCCAACTGCTAAAGCATTGTCCACAATTTATTAGCAACATCAAGTGTTGTTGTTTTTTCTAAGAGAGTACAATGCATCAAAGCTCTTCACACCTTGTGCTTATACCATTAAGCCACAGCGTCTGTAACTTCACACAGAGGATGGCTGGACAAGCTGGGTTCACTGCTTGGTACTATTCTGTCTGTCTGTGCGCCAGTCAGCTGCAAATTCAGCAACCACTGACCTCTATAAGATGTAATATTGATGGAACAATAACTTTCAAAACAGCCACACAGCGGAAAAGCGAGATTAGCTATGGAGCCTCTAACTTTCTTTGATACTTATTGACTTAATATTTTGAGAGGTAAGTTGAAAGGTTTCCAAATGACTTCCAGAAAGTGTTTTTTTTCCCCTCTTGCTTTAGCATCTATGAGCCATTAAAGCATCTGCACATTCAGCTTTTACGTGTAAGGAAGGCTTCACTTTCCTTGCTTGGTTGTCAACTTATTGTGAATTATGTTTACTAAAACTGAGACTAACAGCACAGTATTTTATAAAAACAAAAAAATTCCCCCTGTTCACATGTGATGGTAGTATACCGAAACAATGACAAGGAGAAAAGAAACAAGATAAAAATTCTATATAGTAGAGGTTATGCTGTGCCGTACCTGGTGGTGGTTTCTTGGTCATGAGTGCAGGGAATTCCTCCTCCGGTTCAAGAGTGGGGTCTGTGATGGGATGAGGGGCTTCCACAGCTGCATCTTTGCTGGGAGGGGATTTCTCAGGGTAGCCATTAGCCAAGCCGCTCGTCAGTGCTGCGGTCACGACATTGGAAAGCGGTTTGCTCAAAGTTTTCTCAGGGACATTTTCCTTTTGTGCTGCCGTTTCCACCGAGATCGTATTTGCAGTTGCTGTCGTCCCTGACACTGCAGACACAGATGTAGCGGGCGCAGCGGGGTTCTTCTGTTTTTTCTTCTTGTTGGCTTTAGAGGTAGAGAGATCAGTGTTGGGGGTTGGATTTGACGTGCTGGAGGTCACGGTGGAAGTTTTGCTGGTGCCTCCTTTTACAGTGAGCAGAGAGGAGATATCCAACATGGTGGGCACCGAGCGGAACTCCTGCTGCGTCATTCCTCCACTCTCGTCATCAGAAAGAGCGGGCGAGTGACTCGATGCTGCTTTTCCATTGTCCCCTACTTTCTTTTTCCTCCGTGAAGATGATGAGGTTGAGGAGGAGAGGAGCTGAGGGCCCGAGGACGCAAGGGGAGGGGGAGGTCTGGAGGAAGGAGGAGGATGAGTAGTGGGTTTAGCTACAGCAGTATGGTTGGACCAAGCAGAACTGGCACCCGCTGTGGGTTTGAGGGGCCGGATTTTGGAGACGAGAGCGGGGAAATCCTCCTCTTGAAAAGAGGATGTCTTCCTGGGTTGGGCAGAGTAAGCCGGGGTCATGGGGGATGAAACCGTTGCAGTGGAGAGGCTTGGGAAGTCATCTTCCTTCAGAGCTGCATGTGATGCTGTAGCCGCCGCAGGAGCTGTCTTTACACTGGAGGGACATAAATAACATAGAATAGAATAGAAATACTTTATTAACCCCCAAGGGGAAATTTGGTTGTTACAACACAAAGATAAAGTTACCACCACCACAAACACAGATAAATAAGCAAAAATAAACTATAAGAAATACAAAATGCAAAATGTACAATAAGTGTAATATAGAAGTAGAAAAGTCCTGTAACAAAGCAAATTAAACATTTCTGCACACACCAGACTATGTGGTGAGAAGTTGTGATGGTACTGTGTGCTGAAGCTTACATGGGTGCAGCAGCTGTGGCTCCTAAAGCTGGGAAGTCATCCTCTTCATCCCCTGGATTAGTGCTCTTCATTGTTCTTACTGTTAAAGAGGTGACAATGAATACATTAGAACTGCTGCTATCTGCAATACTTGTGTCATCACTTATAGCCAAATTACTGAAATACAACACCAATAATGCTTGACTCAAAAGCAAAACACACAAAAACACAACACTTGTATGACATCTGGCAACACATTCACAGGTAAGGTATATTTTTAACTTTTGCTTTCTTTTTTTTACCTGGAGGTTTGTTTGCTGGTTTGCTTGCTGGTTTAACATGTCCGGTCCGGTGTCTGGGCTCTTCTGGTTCTGCTCTTTCTGTTCTCTCCTCTCTGCAGTGTTTGGGAGCGCTCCTCTCCTGCACTGCTCCTCTCTCCTCCTGTCTACGCATCGCCATTGATGCCCTCATAGCAGCTTCCACCTGCCTGTCCTCTTCTTCTCTGTGTGAGAAAGCAGTCAAACAGATGGCATGATGAAAATGAACCGCATATGAAGATAGAATAGATTTTGACTGCCACATTTTAATACTGAAACTGCACATATACAAATAAAAAAAACATGATAACAGTAAAAGCTTGTGACACGATCTTACAGATAATCATCAAGTATTTTCCATGTTTAATCCTTAGCAATAGCATTGGATGTACTGCAGTCAAGTTATCAAGCGTATGGCTGCATCCACACCTTTTTCTACAGTCCTAAGTTTCTGTGTGTTGTTGCATCCTTCCCCATTAGAGTCACCACTTCTAAATCTGACACTTGGAGGTACACAGTAAAATCCCCCTTCCAGTCAATCATATTACTGGTCATTTTGACTCACCTGGAGTACCTCCAGCTCTTCTGTCCCCCCTGAGGCCTTCCTCTTCCTCCTCGATTGTGACGAACCTCCTCATAGTCCTCACCTGAAACCAGACCTAAAGACACACACATTATTCACATTATGCTACCTTGAAACTACACTTACATAAACAGTCATCTGAGTGGCATGGCAATAACTGCAATGTCTTGACCGACCTTCATTTCTCCTCTGCTGTCTCGGGGCGTAGTTAAACTGCAGGTCGATGTGGCGGTTCTGTCGAGCCTCTGCTCTGTTCTTACTGTGTGCTGCAGCCTTGTGGGCCTTATAGTCGATCTCGGTGCGGAATGCATGAGTGAACTGTTCTGTGGCACAGCGACCTTCCTCGCACAGATAGTGACTCTCTCTGAAGTGCTCGCTTAGATACTGGTAATCACTGTCGACAGCAGGGGTTGCAAGAAAAATATAATCAAAAATATAATCATCATCAACACTGACAACTTTACAAAAACGATTACGTGATAACAAAACAACTGCATAAACTAAATCAGCAAGTTAAACGACTATCCACACCTGTAGTATTCCTGAGAACCGTCTGCATCACAGAAATGGCAGAAATAGTGGTCCCTGCGCAAATGTTTCAGCAGCTCGTCATTATCAAGGTAGCGGTCATCGCAGAACTTGCAGAGCGGGTGTCCTCTGTGACTGGTGTCATCTGGGTCTCCATGCGCTCTGTGACGTGCCAGTTCCTTTCGATTGTACCACTTCCGCTCATGGGAGAAGATCTGGTGGAAGAGGCGAAGAGGTGACACCACTGTGAGCCTAATGTTCTGTAATGCTGTTTTTGAGAAGATCTGCTAACAAAACTCTTCATCATAATATAAACACTGTTTTCTTTGCATCTGGCTAGCTTAAGAGCACTAAAGAGTGAGCTTTCAATAGTGATAAAAGCTGGAAGATAAACATTTTTTTTCTATTAAATGGGCATCATCTAGTGAAAATGCCTTTAAAGTATGCCCGTAATGTCTAATAACTAACTCCTACTTTCTGCAATTATGTCTAACAATGCCCTTGATTGTCTTGCAGCCTCATGTGACACAGATCTGTCCATAAATAAATGTATTATGTAGAAACAAGATTGCAAAGACTGCTACAAAATAAGTGAGTCTGAGAGACAGTTGGCTGTACATAACTGGTTGTTTCTGTCAGCTTTCAAGGCTTAATTTACTTCCACTGCTGCAAAAAGCAGGAATTTGTTAACCCATTACTTACTTAGTTTTTGTTTTTAATCTTCTGCCATTTTTTTTTCATTTTATCTAATTCACTCAACTTTATTTTAGCTTTGCATAAAACTGGCAAAAAATGTAAGTGTTCTAAAACTTTGAACCATGAGTATATCAATATTTGCTCATCATTCTGAAATATCAATATAAACTAAACTTTTACTTGTCTGGAATTGTTGTCTTATCATTTAACATGTTTAAATCTGACTAAGACAGGTGCATGTCTTTGCTGTATTTATAATAATTCAAGATTGAACTGTATTGTGGAAGAACTTTTGTGACTGCTTAGCAAATACCGCTGACAAGAACAATGCTTTGATGCCCTCAGGTGGCACAAAAACTGAACTGCATTTTGTAACCAGGATGTTGTGACTTTTATAGCGAGCCACAGGTTTTTCCTACGGATTTTTTAATTGCTTAGTGTCACACATGAGGTGTTCACTTTTATGATTTTCAATCCAACATCACATTTTAAAAGTTTAAGGACTGCTTGTGCTGCAGATGAAAACTTTCCATAAACTCTGGCTCCGGTGAAGCAGCCAACTACTGTTTGAAGTCCTGACAGTTACATTAATATAGAAAATTTTGATGTAGCAAAGATGTTCATTTTGTCCTCAAAGTACAAGTAGACTTAAGAATTTCTTTGTAATAGGACAAATACATTTTGATTCTAATAATAATGCTTTGATTGCAATTTGCTATGTGTGTGCATTTTATAAACACTAGCTTAAACTTTAAAATAATGCAAACATGATGATGAAGAAACGTGCCTGTCTTTACATAAAGCCGTATTTTTTTCCTGCCGAGTACGAAGCAGACAGTTATCTTTAGTGTTGGACAAATATTCACAAAATTACTAATGACAAACACATTAAGAATTGCATTAATCACACAAAAAGGGGAGACACTGCACTCAGTATTAAAAAGTCCCATAAACGTTTTACAGGAACACCACACAAACATATATGTGCTTAATGAATGAATGTTAGAATGAAATATCTTTATTTACATTGTGCTTTTTCCAGCAAAAGATGACGAGAAGTTGAGGTGATCCAGCAGATCCATATGATTTAAGTCAAGTGATTCCTGTTTTGTAAACATACTTTTATTTTCTAATTTACTTAATCTAAAACTCATACATAGACTGGACAGGATATGGGATTAAAAAGATGCCCTCCTTTAAAATAAGTATTTATTTTGTGGGAGGGATACATGTTTACAATAAAACAATACAGCCATCATCACTGTGGCATGTCTTGATAAATTTTACATTGAGTGTATCAATAAATTAATAGCAAATCAGGTCTAAAGATTCTTAATTTGAAAAAGCTGTTATGGTTTGGCTTTAAATACAGCTATTACAGCTATTTACAGATCGTGTTGGCTAAAACGCCCAAGAAGCCTTAATCTTCTGCCCAATAATTCAGTGCAGGAAGCCAAACTAAATAAAATGTACAATAGTCAAGATCAGTGTAAATATTTTAACAGTAGCATTACAATGTTTTGCCCCCAGACAGCCACAAGCTGGCTACTTTTCCTATTGGATGACTGCTTCACATCTTACACAAAGCCTTGCAGTACATCTGTGGTATTACAGCAGTCCTGTGATACTGTGACCCTAATCAGTGACTGATTAACTCCTGGACGAACCAGTTAGGGATGAATATACCTTGAGGTGTTTTGTGCAGAGCTTGCAACAGAAGAGTTCGTGCTGCTTCCTCATGTGCTGCTCCAGCTCCTCAAATTTGGAGAAAACCTTGGGCTCTGAACAGCGAGGACACGTTGCCAAGAGCAAATGCCTGATGAAACACAAAGCAGGAAAAAGTGAAGTTAGAGTCAGGTAAAGTAAAGAAATTACTCAGGGCAATAAAGAAGTAGTAACAAAGTAATCAAACAACAATTACATTATTTATTTTTCCATCTTAGCTAATTCAAAGCTCAGATAAAGGCTCTTTTTTTGTTGATATAATCAACAGATTTGCCCATAAAACTAAATCACTCCCTGAAACCAAACACAAAAAAACAAACACAGCATGACTGGAATGGAAAATGAAACTTAAGGTTTTTCTGACCTCACCAGCCTTCTCATATTGATTTTGTTGTTGTTGTTGATTTAATGAACAGATTCACAGATAAGACAAAATCACTTCCTGAAACCATCTCATTCATCATCACAAACTTATTTGACTATAAACATTAAGCTCTAAAAAATATGAAACAGAAGAATAAATAGGAAAAAAACAAAACACAGCATGACTGGAATGGAAATTAAACTTAAGGCTTTTCTGAATTTACCAGCCTTCTCATACTATTTATGTACATGGTTGTTTGCACTTCCACATAATTCATCAGGTTGCTGCCTGCTGTGATGACAAGGGGTGTTTTTTACAACCACATGTGTGTGCAGCCTTGGCTGTCTATATATAATACACGTTGTTTTTTTTTTTAACAAAAGTTGTACCTTGTTTACCAGAACTTCTTTTATCCCTCATCCTGACTATGACTACTTTTTAAAGGTCTAGCAGCAGTGGAGTTTCCAAGTCTCCACAGATTCCTGATTAACAGTCAATGGGCAACATAAAGAATTATATTAATCAATCATAAATAAAGAAGTCGTCCAGAACCTGTACTGGGCGTAGATCTTCTCGTCACCGAAATAGATGTCATGCTTCTTCTCAGTGGGGAACTGCTGATAGGGCAGACTCTGAAAGGCCTCCAGTTTTTTCACAAACACCACCTGAAAACAACATGTCAAGTCAGAACTCACAACTGCTCAACATCTCATGCACACACACACACAGAGATTAATTGTAAAGTCGAGGTAAAAAGCTGCAGTGCATGAATTATTTACAAGATTGAGATTCACACTCTTCCTGACTTGAGGTAGAGTTGACAAGCTAGCCTACACTGATGGGCTTGCTAATGTTAGACGTAGCTAGCTTAATGACAGCGAGGAAAAAGTAGTCCAAGCAGTGTGTAGACACAGTTCGTTAATGTCTCTTTTTCTCCCAGCGACACTTTTCATTCATTATGAACCCAGCTGAGATACTGCGATACCATTTCTGCTTATTTTTTCCCTACAATACGACTAGTGGGGCGTTGCGGCCTAGCTAGCTCCACCTGGCTGCATCCCCGGGCTACAGTAGCAGAGCATGGCGCACCTTGTCGAGCTCCTCCCGGCAGACGGCGCAGTACTTCTGGTCGCACAGCACCCTCATTTTGGTGGAGCAGCGGTAGCAAACCGGGTGGTCGCATTTCCCTAAGGCGAAGATATCCACTTCTTGGCAGCACAGGACGCAGTTCTTCTCGGCCTCTTTTGTGGGTGTTGAATCCATGTCGGCGGAAAGGCACAAATAATCAACGGTAATACTATTTGGGAGAGCCACCGCCGCTGAAGCGCTTACGTAATAATGAAAGTCTGAGCCACTGCCGCGTCACGTAACAGTCGGAGCTCCGATGTGTAGAACATGAGGATGGATCCACACCGATCCGCCGCAGCGGCGCTTGTTCCCATCACACAGGTGCGATCCACGCAGGTGATCACGACCGGTCCACGTGTGGATGCGCGGTGTGAACGTAACCGGTGTGTGCGCTGATAGCAAGTACTGTACTTTAGGAAATATTCACATGCGCCTCATGTGTGTGTTGAAGAAAATAGGTGTGCGCTGGTAGATTCCTAGAGAGCACATAGGTCAACGTTAGGAGAGGCTAGGGATTAATGTTTTTACAGAGTGGTGGCCACGTGCGTCATTTCAGGAATTCTATTATGCTGTTGTAGTATTCAGGCCATTTAAAAACAATATCAATGTGACTGTTAAGGAGTCACATACTGATATATTTACATTGTTTTCAGGTTTTACGGTGAAGATTGCTGATACTGTAATGTGCATAACAAATATAGGTTCAGTTAACAGTTTGTTTGTTTTTTTTTACTACAGTGACCAATGTTTAGAGTAATATAAAGGGATTAACCGTGTAAGGACTCATAACTCTAGCTGATAAAGTAGTGAAGAAAAAGAACGATGTGTTCTTTATGCTTAGATCCTAGCCAGTCTTGTTTCTGTGTCAGAGGTAATTTATGATTATAAGTAATTAATGAAGCTGCTGCTGTGCTGTGTTGTGCATAAATGCCATCACCTCTGTCTTTCCTGAGACCTTCATATGGATCCTGCTGCTGTCTGATGCTGTGGGTTTTTAACATTCTTATCAAGATATTTAAATATGAATATATCAGCATTTTTGGCTTCCAATGTCTTACATAAAGCAGTGTGTAGTTGGGGTTGCATTTTAATTGTCTTGGTAGCAATTCCATGAATGAGTTTTGTTTTTTTTCTCTAAACTTCTACATGACTTAAATTTAAAAGCTGCTCCAATGATCCAATATCCTACCCAAAATTTAAGATGACAGAAAATGTCCAAAAACTGGAAACAGATGTGACTCAGTTCTTTCTTTTTTCCTCCAACATTTATCATGAGTGATGCATTAACCCTGGATCTTGGTATTGTCTTGTCTCTCCAGGCGATTTGAAGCAAAACTGGACTTTTACATGAGTGCAGAAGAAAAGCCAACCGCAGTGAAAACAGTCTAGGAATCTCATTTCAGATTCAGATCTCAGCTGCCACATAACTACACATATTTTTATGGAAAAATCAATACTTTCAGTATGGAATGCTTTATTGGATGGAGTATTTGCAAGATGAGGTCACCATTAAAGATCCACTGTTTTCAAGATGGTTTGCAGAGAGTTGAAGCCTTCATCTTCATCGTGTCTGTCAGAAGTGATTTTTACAGTTCATCAGTATTTTTTTTTAAGTTGTTTTTTTTTGGCTTTTGTTTGATAGTGCAGTGGGAGGGACAGGAAGTGGGGAAGAAGAACAGGGGGAGGACATGTGGGAAAGGACCATGAGTGGGATTCGAACTCATGACCTCCACATCGGGACTGTAGCCCTGTACATGGGACATCAGCTCAACCTGATGAGCTACAGCGGCGCTCAAGTGTCCGGGGTTGTTAAAATGTCTTTCCAGCTAGCGTTTCTTGTAGTGGCTCAGTCCCATGGCTCTGAAGGTGCAGCTGGCAATCTTCTCATAGAGAAGAAACATGAGGGCGGCAGTCAACACCGTCTGCAGCAGCTTGGCCTCCAGGCCTTTAAACAGACCCAACATGCCGTACTTCCTACAAAACAGCAAAACTGTATTAAATAGTTATATGTACGGTGGCCCAGAAGTGTCACAACAAAACAAAAGCCACAGCACACGCAATAAGCCACAACACAACCAAATTAACCACAACACTACAAAATAAGCTGCAACACAACACAATGGCTGCAACGGAAGTTTTTTTAACCTGGAAGTTATACTGTGAAGTATAACAATGGTTTCTGTGGTAGCAACATCGGCATACAATTTACATATTATAACGTGAGTTTTTTAAATACAGACCGTTACTGGCTAGATGAATAATGGAGATGCATTTTCTTGTTCTTCATACTGATGTAAAGTCATACAGACTAAACATTCTCTATGTTACTGAATGTGTCATTTCAAATCTGAAGCACTATTTAAGAGGCAACACAGAGATATGCTCTGCTATGACAGTTAAAGGTGAAAGATTTGATTTGTTTGTTGTCATACAAAGTGATTCTAATCTAGACATGCCAAAACCAGATTTGAGCTGCTTGGCAAAGATAGCTTGCCACTCCTTTTCATATGTTGTTCCTTGTAATTTGCATGCTACAAGTGCTACAAGTCAAATGAATGCTGTCACATTGTATTTAAATAGAGAAACTTAAATGGAGCCATAAAATTAGAAAAAAAGTACAGTCTAATTTGAAAACTCAACATGCAAGTTGTGTGTACTCACCTTGCCCTATTGAGCAGCAGACACTTAACAGTCCTGAGACCTGACAGCAGCTTTGACTTCTCTGTTGATGTGTTGAACTGACCAAACTGCAGTAAAATAAGGGTCACAGCATTTATATACAAATGTATGCAGTAGATACACATAAATTTATTAATCAAAGTTTTGAGACACGAGAAAAAAACATGACAAAGACACAAAACCTACCCTAAGAACTGATTGTATAGTCTGCAACGGGTATGTGATAGTGGTGGCAACAGCTTTGGCAACAGCACCGATCATGAAGACCTCTGGAGATGTCAGCTTTGGAGAGAGAGAAGAAAATCTGTCACATTTTGTTCTGGCAAAAATCCTGGGCTGCACTGCAAAATGCATTTGGTGTGAAAAAGAGCAGGCGCACATGTTGAGCCTATCCTTTAATCTCCGCTTAATCCACACAAAAAGTCATGTGAACAGAATTACCAAGTGTCTGCATGTCAAGTGTCTTCTCATCCAGATAATGTCCACTTATTCTAACCCCTACCTTATCTCTCTCTTTCCCACTCACCTCTCTGGGAACTCCTTTCCTCAGCTGCCTCTTCAGGCCTTCATAGATCATGAACTGGATGGCAGGGTTCAACACCAGCAGCAGGGATGGGAAGGTCCCGTTCCACAGGGCTCCAACACCCTCATCACGGATGATCTGCACAAATGCATCTGCAAAAAAAAAACCAAAGATAAAATAACATTAAAAATGAGAAAGAAAAAGATCATAAGCAATGAGAATCCAAGTACTTCATGCTATTGACTACCAATTAGTGCATCTGTCATAGTTATAATTCACGGATAGTTAGAATGTCCAATTACCAAATATGCCAGAGTAGTTGGTGGGCCGGATGTCTTCATTACGAAAGTTGGAGCCTTGAAGCTTCAGTCTGGTATTGACCACCCACAGAGGGGTGGTCACTAACACATTAACAACACCTGGAGAGACAAGGAGACAGATGAAAATCAAGACTTCGGCTGCAGTATCGTTAATAAAAGCAAACACTGATGGTGGTTTACACATCTTGCAGCATTTACAAGGCAATGTAGATGAAAAAAAATAAGCTGTATGACAATTTTTTTGACATGATCAAGCTAAAACTTTAAGAGTTGATGTGATGCACTTTCTCATGATGCTCTGACTTCGGAAATGCAATGTGGGAGTCATATCTCAAATTAGATAGATTTTCTTTTTCCGACTCACTAAAACAAGGATTTTACAATCTGGACAGTGACCTCACCTGCAACGATGCCTGTGATTAAGTCAGTGCTGGGTGTTGACTGCTTCCCCTTCTGCCAGCTGGCCTTGAGGCAGTGGAAGCAGTAGAAGTAGACAAAGTTGGAGCAGCAGAGGCTGCAGATGACCGGGAACCATCCTCTGTAGGGAGCTAGTCTGTAGGGGGGCAACAAACATAGGAACACATCTTAGAGCCCTTCTTCTGCTCGCTACACTCTGCTGTGACTTGTGAGTGTCAGTATGCATAATTAGAGAAGTTCTAATTTATAATTAATAAATTTCTTGAGGGAAGGACAACAGTACAGGCCTGAAATGTGTCAGCACTGATGAATAACACTATGAGGTAAGAGTAATATGAAACTCCTATGAAGAATAATTTGTTTCAGCATTAGTTAAAAAACTTAGGAACTACACTCCAAAAAAGAGACAACTTCAAGTCTAAGTTTGAAGTTAATACTGGATCACATGTTACATTGCAGTTTAACATTTCTGGCACAAAAGAAATTGTATTTAGGTTTAGAGTAAGGAGGTTTTGTTTGGTTTTTGGTGCAACATAATTTAAAGTGAAATCATGGCTTAATGATTAGAAAAATTCCCAGCTTGCAAAAAACACAGGTTCTGACATGCATCTACCAGGAAAGCAAACCCATCAAATCAGCAATTTCCTCATTTCACTCACAGTCCTTCCTCTTTGATAATTTCTGCTAGGATGGCTGGAGTTGATTTGGCCTTCCTGTTATCATCCACTGACCACAAACAAAGGAGAACTTGTTTTAGTTGAATATATCACAGAGACTTCTGTAACTACTGCAAATAAGACTCATCTTACCTTGAAGGCGGAGTCTGGCAGTATCAAGAGGGAAGAACACTGTCATTGCAGTCACACTTCCCTTTAAAAAAAAAAGGCAACAGTCAGAATTCAATGGAAACACCAAGCCTGGGCAGGCCATTTTTATTCGCATGTGGATGACAACCCACACCAAACACCTTTAAAAAAAAACTAACAATTTAACGGAACATACGTATAAAACACACAGTGACACCAACAATAACACAATTTCTACGCTGTTATACATGACTTTCAAATTCAGCTGGTTTAGCAGAATGCATCGAACACTCTTTATTTCAGAAATACGATGTTGAAGTACACATTTTAAACAGGTATTTGAAGCAGCACCTGCTCCATTATGGTGAATACACTAGAGTAAGTTTTCAACTGAGTTTCGCTTGATAGATTTGAACGCTGACACTACAGCTAATGTCATAGCTACTGCAGTTTATGTAGTTTCAATTTTTATTTACAGAGATAAGTAGTGACATTAAAGCTAACTTACCACTGCTCCTGACACAGCATGAACCAAACTCTCGTACGAAAACACCTCCGAGGCCATTGTCACCGCAGTTGTTTCTTTTTTTGTTGCGTCCAATGTATGCTCGACAAAAATAAGAATTTCTCTTTCGGATAGAAACAGTTTCTATCCTCTTTCCCTCTCGTTTCTCCTCTCCTGTCTGCTGCGGTTAGCTGTTCGGGTTTTTAACCTCTCGCTTCCTGGTGGGAGCCGCTACGGCATCATGGGTAATGTAGTTCTCTTCATAAGTTTGAGCCAAAGACTGTATAAAACTTAAAAAACATATAATATACAGTGTATTGTTTGAACTTTGACTCATTTTTTTTTCAAGACGTCTATTAATTCCTTATTCTTTAACATTTTTGTAATATTTGCAGGGTCAACATAGGCAGTAATTCTGGGATGAGGTTATCATGGAACTTATATACAATAAATAGTGTCACTTTTTGATTAATTGTACTCCCATGTGCACGTTCCTGCTTTTTTGTTTTTAAATGGTTCTACTTGCGATGAAGAAAACAGCACATCTTTTGCTTCAGACACCGCCTACCCCGAGTGTCACTCATCATTCCATTACCACTGTTATTGATAATTTCCCTACCTTTAGTAACTGTCTGCCAGACCCTTCATTCTCATACCACTTGTTGTCTATCACACTGCTTGATTCCATCACCTTTTGTTCTCTTACTTCATACATTTATAGCACTGTGGTTTATGCGTTGCATCATTCCCCCACTCACTTAATTCTGTTTTTATTTTTATTTTTTAAATAAGTGCTAAGTCAGCAAGAAAATCTGCTGTTTTATTCATAGCACCCCACAAGAATGGAGATCCTGTCACTTTTACTTACATGTCATGACATAGTTATTGCACATGTACAGCAAATGCATTGTCCATCCATGCTTCCTTTGCACTGCTTGATTTAAAGTTGGATTATTGCCAGTTTTGAGCACCTCCACATCAAACATCTCAAACACTAATGTATTTGTAGAGGGCTAAGAAACATTAATTGTGGGAGTTAATTTAGCAAAGTTGGAGCTCATGTCCCACGGGCATCAAGCTGCAATGCTGGTTTAAAAGTGCACAGTTGGGCCACAGAATAATTATTAGCTGATCCTCCTGGCTGATGTACTGGCGAGCGAAGCAGCATCACTCTTATGAAGTTTCACACACACCTGATGTTTGTTGGCAAAATCACTCTATTGCATTGAAGCGCTTGGTTAGTGACTGCAGTGGCATGTGGTATCTGTTATCAGGAACAGTTCTCTCTCCATGTTACAGCCTAACTGCTTCTTTATTCCAAGTTCAGCCTGTTGTGGAAAGATAAACTGCCAACCCCATTTTGTTCTAGCTGCTGTTATTGTGCTCTAAATGATATTTTGTCCCTCAATCTTTGCTGCTGACTGATATTTTTAAGAAGACTTATCACAGATTTGTGTTGAGAACTCTTTCGTCTTGTAGTGTTTTTTTTCAGGGAACCTGACAAACCAACAGTTTCTAGATGCAAGTGTATTTCATGTAAAATCTTTGACTGCACACATTTAACCTTAACTTATTGTGCTCCTCTATAAACAATAATTGGCTTGACTTCTTACATTTCTCAAAGCTGTCAAACTGTCCTCAAATATTAATAAGACCAAGAAGAGGGCTGAACACATTTTAATAGACACAGTAAGTTAAACAGTAAGGAAAACTATGCTTTTACATGGGATTTCACGTATACGTCAGTGCCATGCAGTATACATGACAGCCAACGTGGACTTACCAAGACAGAGCACAACTGCTGCTGTTCACATCAGAGGCAAATATCTCATAACATTGGCACACTAATGTAAAATTATCTGCAGAAATACAATGTTTTGTTAGTTGATTTTGAAACTAATGACAAAAAGTTACTAATTAAAAGCTCTCGGGAGAATTAAAAAGATGAACAACATAAACCCAACCTATGACTTGTTAATATGACCTTCAGCAAGGCACTTATTCCTCAGCTTTGCAGTGGAGTTACTCAGGAGAAAACTATAAATAAGTGGCTCCAGTGAGAGGATTTCTACGATTAGTAGAGTCACATATAATATCCTCACACATGCCTTGTCAAGATTTAAAGTTGTTTGCGAGGGAATTACGGTGCGAACCCACTTATTTGAACTTAAATGTCATTAGAGACGGTCATTAGTGTACATGCTGAACATGGCTTTCAATAACTAATAATAACAAAAAATAAAAATTCATCAGTCTCCAGCCCATTCACTCAGCCACTCCTGGCACTGCCTCCTCTGCTCCTCACTCTCTTGTTCAGTCCTCTGCTCCTTGCTTCGTTTCCTCCTCTCCACTTCTCTCCTCGCTCTTTCTCGCTCCTCCTCTTTACTCTTCCTGTTCTCCTCCACCCTGCGCTCCAACAGGGCCTCCACAGTGGCCCTCAGTGTCCGTAATGAGCGCTGTGGGACCCACTTGGGATCTGTTGCGGGGCCAAAGGGGTCTCCAGCAGTGACGAGCAGGGGCTGGGGTTCCAGGGGAATGTGGAGGAGGTGGGCGTGCAACATCATGCGGTATGGCGTGTCGTCTGTTCCTGAGCTGTAGGTAAAGTCCCCGACGATGGGATGACCTATAGCGCTGCAGTGGACCCTTAGCTGGTGGGTTCGGCCTGAGGGACCCAACAGAGAGTGAGTGAGACAGACGTTTCACAACTGTAACACAGATTTTCATGAAATACACAAAGTATCTAGTGGTCCAGAAAAGTTGCCTCTACAGGCCTTGATTCCAAGTATGAATCCAGTAGCATAGAGAGAAAGATGCTAAACTTATGTAATTCAGTTAATTAGTGATGGATTATTCATTTATGAGATTCACATTAATATGAATTTATTTTGGCTTATGTTGATTGATGAATTTCAAACCCAAGAGACTCGGCAACTATTTAGGAAATTAAAAATGTCTTTAGTACTGTTTGTTTCTGCATGAATGTCAAGGTGAAAAATAGTCAGTACAATATGTTCCTTTTAAATTATAGTGAAAATATTTTGTTGTGCAAAGACAAATCCTTAATTTTCCATACATAAAAGTAACCAAATGATGCAACTTACCAGTGAGTGGCTGCAGTAGCACCTTGGTGACAGGATCTCCATCATACATCCCATATTCCAACACTGTCAGCTCAGTTTGGCAAGGCTTAGGGTTCTCACAACCTGAGGAGAGAAGGGTAGGGAAGATGAGCTCAGTTAAATTCCTCGGAAGCTTTAAATATCTATTGTCTTTTCTATAGATGAAAAAATAAATAAATAACAAAAGGGTTTTTTTTTGTTTTTTTTAAAACACATTTTACAGTTGCAATCAGAATTTTGAAATGTAAACATCACTATTTACTACTATGCTGTCCACTACAGGAGTGCAAACCAATGTACCTTCTGTCCCCTCAATACACATCATATGTGTTTTTCCCTCTGTGGAGTTCTTGCCAATGGAGAAGTCCAGAGTTTGTGTCTCTTTCGTGACCCACCCACGTACCTGAAAAGCAAAAAAATAACAAAACAAATATTTGAGACATTTTTAATAACACACAATTTAGGAAAAATGTTATTTATGGTGTCACATACAGATACATGGTAATAACTCTGCTGTATGTCACTGTGTTTGTGTTCCCTACCAGAGCCAGGTAGGCTTTGGTGACGGTTCGGTCCTTGAAGCAGCGGTAAGCCTGACCGGCAGCAGCCTTATTGAGGGCAACACAAAGAGCCCCGCTGGTGGAGAAATCCAGCTGATGACAGAATCTGGCAGAAGAAAAAAAGAAGAAAAAAGATGATGAGAGTACTGCTCCATATGATGCACTGAGTAGATTACTCAATGTGATTCTAACCTAAATCCATAGTAGGTGCTAGGGTCCGCCAGCTGGGGGAAGTGGTGCCGAAGCTGTGCCTGCACAGTCTGTTTCTCGTACCACATCTTGCTGTCAATGCGGATGTCCCAGTGTTTGTCCACCACAATGTAGTCATCACTCTGGTACAGCACACGAAGGCTCTCCAAGCTAGCAGGCTCTGTGGTCATCATGTGCAGTGATTAACTGACACAACTCATACAGGCCTGCAGGGACAAGGTGGTTGCACAAGGTTTAGAAAATTATCCATCAAGCCAAAACAAACACTATCTTTTACAATAGATGATTATCTATTTCCTTATTTTTTATTTGCAGATCTCTATTTTTTTTTTTTTGTAGGTTAGTTGTTTGGTTTGAGTGGAGTGTCTCTCTAGCTCAGCATATGTGTGTGTGTGTATATGTGTGTGTGTGTGTGTGCGTTACATAAGAATCCAAGAACAGGGGTCAGAGGGCTCCAGGTCCATCTGGTTGGGTGTGTTTTTAATCTCTGGTCAGTAAACCTTTTGTCTTTGGACAGTCGGATTACCCATCTCTTATATGGTAGGGAAACCTACCACAAGTTAAACTTACAGAACTATGTATAACTAATCAATGGAAAGGAATTCTTGAGTTTTCTGTGCACTATTAAAGCTGTTAGAGAATCTGCATGAACTCTGTTACTTTTAATTTTGTATAGAATATAAATCTTACTAAGGACCACTAAAGTATTTTTTATATTCACAGCTTCCACCACAGAAAGTGGGAGGCATCTCTCAAGGGTTTAGCATCTTAAATTTGAACTGTACTTTATACAGTATATGTAAGTTGTATGCAAAGCAATTAATATATGTTCTCTAGTAAAAGTCATCTTGAGTATTCTGGCAGTGGTAGATGCTTTCAATCTGAGACAATGGTATTAATACTAAAATATGAAAATATTGCATTTGGGCAAAATTCTTTCATTCAAAGTAAAGTCAGTAACTAAAACACAGTATACATAAAGTAGGAAAAGTTAAAAAAAAAAAAAAAAGTAAATAAATAAATAAATCCACCTTACTGAATGGTCTTTTTCATGGTGTGATATTTTTTAGTACAGTAGGTTGTCTTCCTATTGCTGATATTTCATATGAAAGCATTTGGATATACACTGTTGGGCAGTTCAGTCTATAATAACGTGTCATGTTTTACAAAATGATCCTATTATGAGAAAAATCTGGATCTGAAAAGTAACAAGTTTCAAAGAAATGCAATGAGGTTAAAAAGAAAAATACTGCCCCGTGAAAATGTGGTGCCACTACTATTTTTAAAAACTATTAAGGCAAAATTAACTTAGTTTAATCGCTAGAAATGAACCAAAATTGAATAAAAAAACAAAGTGTCCCAGCCTCAGCAACACTAGTTTAACTGTCTCACCGCAGTGCGTCAATCTGTTTCAGACTGAGAGGAACAAGTGCTTCTGACTGCTTCTCTTCTGTCTGAAAACGTTTAATTATCCCCTAATCTAACAAACAAATGACTTTTTCAAAGTGACACCACAACATTTACGGCTGCTTCAAACGCTTGTTGGTTTTGTGGCCGCATATAGAAGTGGAAGTATTAATAAGAACAAAAAATGTATTAAATAGCATGTCAGTATCACTGGTTTGCTAGCTGGTGTATGCTAACACCATAACATAACTCATTTTAGCTACCTAGCACCTAATACTGAAAATATGTCGGTAACACACCCACGTAATAAACAACTAGTTACCCGGATGACTTACCTCGAATAACGAGTCAAAGCGACTGTATATGTAATTTTTGGCACATGTAAACAAAACCACAAGTGGTACAGTAAACTGCGCAGGCGCACTTTCTTCTTCTTCCTGATTGTTATGGCGGAACAAAGTAAGTGAACAGCGCACAGCGCCCCCACACACACTGGAGTATGTATTACAGCGGCTTATAAACATCAGTTATAAAGTTGAATTTAATTAGTGGACTGACATAACATGTTTTTAATCGTTAATGCCATTTATGAAGTATTAACATGTCAAGGTTCCTGCTTCATGAGTGTGAAGATTTGCAGTTTTCTCCAATAACTATTTAGATATTTCAATAAATTTTTGTGAAACTTTGAGGTTTGAACTATTGATTGGGAAAAAAATAGCATTGTCAAGGTTTCACTTTGGGCTTTGGGTAATATCATAATATTTTCTGGATTTTTACAAACCCAAACAATCACTCAGGTAATGGAGAAAATGATCGCCAGAATAATCAATAATAAAAACAATAATTAATTGTAGTTCTATATAAAATAGGTCTAAATGAGCTTAACCTCAACCAACGAAAACAGTAAAATCATGCTTTTCCATTATTACATGAATAAAAGAAATTCATTGGAAAAATGTATCTATAGTAGTATAGCAGTCACAATATTAAGTATACTTATTTTTAGTACTTTAAGTACATTTTGCTAATCAAACTAAGAGACTTTTTTTTTTTTTTTAATGCACGACTTTTACGTGTAATTGAGTGCTTTTGCAGTGTGGTATTAGTACTTTGACTTACATAAAAGATCAAACTGCGTCCTCCACCACTGGCTATTGTCTGCATTGCATTTAGCCAGTTAAAAAGCTCTACTATCGCTGACTCTCTTGTGTGGCACATTGGGTCTTTGGTGAGAGCTCAGTGACACACCAAAAAGACTGAGTGTCACTAAATGTCTTTGTTTGCTTTATCTTCAGTCTTGTAACATAATGGGAGTGTCCAGTGTGTACATACAGTTACAAACCAGACAAACCATTTACTTTGCTTTCAGTAACAGTATTTTGAAAAACTAAACCTTAATCTTCCTTATGAACTATAATGAGCTTTTGGGATTATGGCGACCTGAAATGCGACAGGTCATCATTTTGACAGAACAGATTATTGAATTTGTGTTATTTGTTTCTGCTTTGTCAGTACCATTCCAGGTGACTCATCCATAATTGTGATGGTAATAATCCCTCACCTCGACCTCTCCTCAACACTTCCGTCTGACTGGGTCACCGGCTCCCATGACAGACCGGTATTATGAACATGTGATATTTGAGATAATGATAAAGTTCGACTGTTTTGTTTGTGTAATTTGTCCATTAATGGGGTGATTTGCACTTCACAGTCACAATACCGACTCCTCTGTTCTCTGCAATTGATACCAAGTAGTGTTTTCTTATTGTAATTACTTTTATCCCACAGGCCAAGCACAGCAGCCAGAAGGCTTACAGTATGTTTGACCAGTAAATGATGACAAATCTCTGCACCAGGACCTCCAAGGGAATTTGGAAGTCCTGATACTGCAGCAAGGACATTTGGAGAACAGAGAAAGCAGGATTCAAATTTAGGGCCTTATCCACACATATGATTCAAGAGAGTCAAGAATTTTTATTGTCATATGAACAGCAAAACAGGTAGTTATACTACTCAATGAAATTCTGATTTTGTTCATTCTCCCTAAAAAAAGACAACATATTAAAATAAATAAAGTAACAAGAACAACAATAAACAATTAAAAGCAACAACAAAGTGTTCAGTGTTATGAATATGTACATGTGTTGCGTGCAGCGTGTGTGAGTGATTCATTGAGAAGCCTGATGGCCTGTGGGTAGAAGCTGTTTGCCAGCTCTTCTGGTCCTGGACTTCAGACTCCTGTAGCATCTGCCTGATGGTAGGAGTGTGAAGAGTGAGTCTTGTGGATGTGTGCTGTCTTTGATGAGGTTGTGTGTTCTTCGTAGGACTCTGGTTTTGTCAAGAACTCACACAGAACAGAGTGACTGGACACAAATGCGCGACACAGACAAGGCTCAAGCAAAAAGACAGGTTTGTTACCGTTCAGGGTTCGGTACACAGAAGGTCAATCAAAACAGGCAGAGGTATCCAAAAACCGAGAGGCAAAAGGCAAGGTCCAAGAACAGAAGCAAGGTCGTAACAAACAGACTGTGACTACGACTTGGAAGAACGCTGGTACAAAGACTGTGAAAGTGCGATGAACTGGCGACGAGACAGTGAGACACACAGGGTAATATACACAAGGTGATGAGGGGAGATGGGAAACAGGTGCGGGAAGAAAAACAGGAAACAGGTGAGACAAGACAGGTGCAGGAAGTAAAACTCAAACAGAAACAACTGGTGAAGTGATTTCAAAATAAAACAGGAAAGCCAAGACATAAAACGTGCCCACAAAACAGAAACTTGACAGACATGACAGGTTTTGTAAATGTCTTGCAGTGAGGGGAAAGCTGCCCCAGCAATGTGCTGTGAAGTCTTGATCACCCTCTGGAGTGCCTTCCTGTCTTGTGCTGTGCAGTTTCCGTACCAGACCGTGACAGAGGCGGTAAGGACACTCTCGATAGTGCATCCGTAGAAGCAGCTGAGGATTTTGGTTGACATGCCAAATTTTCTCAGTCTTCTTAGAAAGCACAGTCTCTGTTGGGACTTCTTGATAATTTGTTGGGTATTGTGAGACCAGGTGAGATCCTCGCTGATGTAGGTGCCAAGAAACTTGAAGGTTTTCACCCTCTCCACCCTAGTCTAATCAATACACAAGGGTTTATGTGGCTCCTTTTTCCTTGTTCTTGGGTCGATGATCATCTCTTTGGTCTTGTCTATATTGAGATGAAGGTTGTTGTCATGACACCAAGTCACCAGGTCATTCAAATGATCAGCTCATTATCAAGCTCTGCAGAAGCCTGATAACGATCCTGATCATTTGAATCAGGTGTGTTGGAAGAGGGAAACATCTAAAACTTGCAGGATTGCGGCCCTCGACGACTGGAGTTCGACACCCCTGGTCTAGAGTGAAGATTTTCAGAAACTCAGGAGCTTTTTTATTGCCAAGTGAGCTTGCACACACAAGGAATTTGGCGTGGTCAAATCAAAAAATACTATGAAAAGAGACATAAGCTCTGGGTACAGTATTGACCACTGACTGTATATATATAGATGGACACTCAGTGACTCACCTGCAGTTGGTTTTGAAGCTCAGTGTGGTGGTTCTGGATGTTGACAGTGATTGTCTCCTCCAAGTTCCCAGGTATTCCAAAAGTTGGGTCATGAACTGTCCTGTGCCATGCCCCTAATCATGCATAACTTTAGGTCTTAATACAATTTAAATTGGTAAGTTATATAAAAATTCAGCCCCTGTAAAGTTGTCATTAATATTGGAATTAGATTAAAAATATATATTTTGCACCAGGTTGTAAGCATGTTTATTTCTGCTGTAAAGTTTAATATGGGGATGTACAGGGATTGACTTGCTTTTGGTGCAGTCTCAAGTGGTTAATGAAGGAACTGCAGTTTTTTTTCCTCTTCGGCAATAATTGATTGGGTCTTATTAGTCATCGTATGGCCTTCACTGGTTTGTCACGCTCTTATAATGTGGCTATACAACTAATCAACCAAGCCTCTGCTTCTTGTTTACATTGTCATGCACATCCCCAGTGTATGTGTGAATGTGTACATGTGATATGCATTTTCAGGTATGTTAGCAAGGATGATATGATTATACAATGCTCATCTGGATGGATTTAGCCCTAGACAGCTGGACCAAATAGGTGGCATAGGCCCCAAAAAACAGCAGTTTGGCTAATCCTGCTATGATTTTGTAATGCCATTAAAAATTAGGAAAAAAAAAACCTCAGCTTAAAAGCACAGGCTGCAAGTGAAGCCAGAAAGGAAGGGTAAAAATGTCAACAAAAGCTTCTTAAAACACTTCTACGTCTGTTCTAAACATTCTCCAAACTAATTCCTTGTTACACTATGACCTCCTCATAGGTCAAACGCTAATACATTCCGTGACAACTGGTTGGAACATATTGTGCGAAAACATGCCGGTGTCACATTGGTGCAGATTCATCCTGTAGTTAATCCCTGAACACCGCCAGGTATGAATGTGTTTGGAGCTAAGAAGATCAGGAATTAAACAGGGACCTACCTGGAATTTTTATTACTCTTATATAAGTGGCATTTCATAAGCTAATCTACCTTCCCCTGTGTCTGTGTATTAATGGGTCAGATGTTACCACAGAAAGGGAAAAAAATGTTTCAGTCAGCTGATGGAAGAGGGAGAAGATGAAGAGGTTATGGGCTAAACTGGCAGATTCTGCAGAAGGACAGAGATATTTGTGTTGATCCATTTGAGGAACAAGGACCTATTTTTTCTCTTTCTCTGCTTTCTTTAACTCTAAACCATTCACTGGACATGCAGTTATCATTATTTGCAGCGACACCTCATAAGGAGGTTTGGGTTGTGTGAACAAGGACCTATGTGGAATTTCTATCTCTAGATGTTGCAGACTCCATGTTTTCAAAACCAACTTTTTCCATCTTGGGTTCATCTTTTTGCACTTCTTGTTTGTTTGGAGGAGTTTTAAAAGCTTGATGCAGAACTGGAACCAGTCTGAATGTGTCGGCAATCGCTGCTGTTTCTTAGGTCTTTTCTGAACCAGGTGTGGTGTGCTCCCTCCACAGATGTGACTTCAAGTGGATTCAGGCTGTCTAGTCACAGTGTATTTAATTAGAGTGAAACATACCAAATTTGGGGATAAAAGTTGGTTACAGAATTATTCCAAAGTCCTTTGGTGCACCTTCATTTTGGAAAGATGCTGCATCTCTCAACAGGCCGTTGTCTCAGCAGACGTGTTGTAAACTGTCTGTCCACCCTGGATCATAGATCATATCTGCAGGCTCGTTGCGAGGAGCCCATAATGACTTCGGATTGGGGTGTCCCTCTGCTGCTGGCTCTGCTGGTTCTGGCTCTGATCTACTCCTTCGTCTATCTGCCGGCTGCGACCCAGCGAGCGCTACTGGAGCAGGCGCTCAGCAGCAACAACACCACTGCTGTGACCGACTGACTCACAGCTGAACTGGACGGATGGAGACACAGACAGAGCTGTCTCCTGCGGATCACCGTGCTTTCAAGTGTGAATTTTCATTAAGACTGCCTTAATAGATAGGAAATGTACTTACAGTAACTTTTCTGAATTGAAAACTGGCAGGTAGGAAGGAAACAGAGATTTGAACATTGCATTGATTTGTACTGTAGCTCAGACTTGTCAGTGTCAGAGAATAAGAAACAATATGTAGAAACTTAGTATTATAGTTTCTTAAGGTCAAAATGGGGATATTGTTTCCATTATATGCCTTAATGCAAAGAGTTACAAATAAATTTCTTGACTGTCTGATTGAAAAAAATGGCAAAAAGCATGTTCTCCTGTCACCGAACGTATCCCTGCATTTCATTTTATTGTATACTTGTATACTATATAGTCTAAGTCGTGACTGTCTTCATATTTTACTTCATGTTGACAATGTGATAGACAATAAAAAGACTGTTTTTCCCCCTTTACATGCAGAAAATAAACCATCTGAGTGAAATCTTTTATCCATGTTTAGTCTTTATGAGTCACAGTGGTTCAATGTAACAAAGTATATTTACTCAAGTACTTTTACTTTACTTCAGTCGTTTCTTTTTAAGACACTTTCTACTTCTGCTCCACTACATTTCAGAAAGGAAAAAATATACTTTTTCACTTCACTACATGTATTTGAAAGCTTTACTTACGTTGTACTTTTGCAAATTAAAAATGTGTACACAGACCTTACTTTTAAATGTGACAGTTCATATAAGTACAATGAAAATAATTAGTTATTTAATCAATTAGTTCATTGACAGAAAATTTGCAACTTTTAAAAATCTTTCAAAATACCTGCGACGCAGTTTTTCACTGTCTGCAGAATTTAAAAAAATTAAAACAATCAATTGTTAAGAATTTACGGGATAACTTGCAGATTAAGCAGCATTAAAAATAATTCTTTGCTACAGTTGGATACAGAATGATACAAAATAAGTTCCACTTTAACCAAAAACAACAGTAAAATCCTGTTTTCACATTAATTCATGGTAATAATAATGTAATGATATATAATGGGATGACAGTCAAGGGGGCATTTTTCTGCATTGAGTTCTTTTGCTCTTGATACCTTAATTGTATTTATTTTAATGATAATACTTACATAGTTTTGCTTCAGTAACATTTTAAAGCCAGACCTTGTACTTACTGTAATAAAGTACTTTTACAGTGTGGTTTGTAAGTAAATTATGTAATACACGTCTTTCAATACTGACAAGTAATGCAAAAAATAAATAAATAAAAATTGTCACCCATTATTGCAAAGCTTCTTGATTCTGCAAAACAAACATCCCACATGAGGCCTCGTACTGGTTGTTTGAATTGCCTTTATTAAAAGATACAGGATACTAGATTCGACACCAATATTTGAAGATGCAGCACTTGATTGTTACAGGCTGAGGCTTGAGATGCACACAGCTTCTTCCAGCCATCTGTACCTTTAAAACTATGCCAGTATATGGCCACCATTGACATCTGGATATTGCGTCTGTATTTTTATTCTTTTTTAATCACATTAAATCTTAGAGTAAAGTTGTAAAAAAGGAAAGAGAGAATCTTGCTAAACCATGCAACACCCAACAAGCCAACATTTACAATTAGTCTGAGACCACAACGATTCACTCAAATGGTATTTCAATGTTCAATATGTTCAGCTACAATGACAATATCATATCCAAACACAATAATGATATTCCTTATTTTTTAAGGGAGCTCGATTCATCCCTTCATATACGTCTCTGACAGAACTCCGGCATCTTCTAGCTTCAAAAGCAGAGTTTTATTCACATCTTGTGTCCTTGATACAGAAGGAAGGGCTAACGCTGTTCATTGTTATGGAGTGAGTAGTATCAAATCCTAAAGGACACACATGCATCTCTTTCTACAATATACACAGTTCAGTTACAGTCATTCATTGGTGTGCTCTTTCAAAAAAAACAAAGCTCCACAGAGACTTGAGAAAACCGGCGCTTTGAAAGCAACAGAAATGTCAAAAAACAGCTCATCTAAGTTCCATAAAACATTATTGTGTAGAAAGAAGTTATTCGTCTTTTTCATTCTGGTTTCTTAATGGTTCGAAAACACGATGTTTTGACAGTTTAGCCAGAGGTTAATTCAATTTTAGTGTTTTAAAACTTTTTTTTTTTAAACTTCCTGAAAAGATGGTGATGGATGCAAAATGAAAAAGAATCATGAAAACATTTAGTAGAAAACAGAAATCATTAAAAAAAAACAAAAAAAAAACAAATGCATTATGATATGAAAGCGAGAGAAAAGGATGCAGAAAAAGTAAAAAATATAAAAGAAAGAAAGAAACATGCAGATAAAATATAAATGTAAAAAAAAAACAAAAAAACTCCATTTACATCTCCTTTTCTTTTATTCGCTAATGCCCTGTTGCTTTCTAACCAGGAGGTATAATGATGCCTTTGATTCAGCAAGTTACAGCAGAATTATCAATCACTGTTTACTGTCATTGGATCATTTTGAAATAAATAAATAAATAAATAGATAGATAAACAAACAAACAAATAAATAAATAAATAAAACCTGAGTTTTTTACTTACTTTTTCTTCGTTTTTAAGCTGTTTTGTGTGTGTTCATTTGTGTTAGACATCAGATATGATGGTTATTCTCTAAGCAGATGCCCCTCTGAATGAAAAACGTGGATTTTAAAGCAGCTTAATTGCCTCCTGCTGCCGTTATTAACTGTTGTTTTCAGAACACCAGCATGTACTTGTTCTTTCTCATCTGTACCTTTGTCTCTCCCCCTGCAGCACCGGTTTTTAACCAAATCTGCTTATGTAGGAATCCAGGTTTCTCCCTGAATCTCCAAATGCTATCTGCATTTACATATTTCATCTCTCTCTTTAGGAAACTCTACCAGTCAGATATTAAATGTCTGCTTCACACCGTTCAGGGCATCGTCTTTCAGTATGCTGAACAATGTTGCAATAAATCAGAATAAATGGATGTTCCAGGCTACAGCAGCAGCAGCAGCAGCAGTTCATTGAGGTGTTTATTTCATTTCAGCTGTAAAAAATGATTTTGCCGTGTTTATGTTCTGTTTCTCTTTGCGCCTTAAACTGACTAAGCTCACTGTGTATATATGACATGATGAGGAGGAAGGCTGAGAGGAACTGAAAGTAATAGAAGAGGGAGACTTCATAATAATTCAGGATTGATCGGATGCAGATGTAGTTGTAACGCAGGAACAAAAGGCAGAAAGAGACGGGGATTCTCTTCTCTCAAAGTCCCAGTCGGGTTTCACGAGGCCTGCATTTAGTGCATTAAACAGACCAGGAGGAGAAAGGGTAGAAGATGGGAGGAAGAAGGAGGAAGAGGAGAAGGAAGAGGAGGAGAGCTACCTGTTCTTGGCCAGTGCAAGGCTGCTCTCACAGGAGGAAGAAGAAGAAGAGGGTGAGAGAGGGGGAGGACGAGAGAGGATGGAGGACAGGTGTGAAAGAAGGGAAGAGAGAAGCATCATCTCCCTCACACACTGCGTTAATTCCAGTCCTTGCTGACGTTGAGGTTCCACTCCCAGGATAAGTAGACATTCTTGTCGTCATCGATGAAGCAAGACTTGATCTGATACTGGCCGCGGGACATCAGGCCTTTGGGCGCCTCATCAGACGGGCATAGAAACTCCTGCTCCTCCGCCCGAGGTCCGTAACTTCCCACCATGCACACTACCTTGTTCACTGAGGGCAGGTACGAAATGAAGCTTTAGTGACCCAGCCATGCATCTGTCACACTGCTAAATGAGATATAGTTTGACAGATCTGCTTACAGGACATGGGGAGGACTACGTGAAGAAAAATGTAAAAAAGTTGTTTCTTTCTCCAGAGGAAGCAGAGCAAAATCTGATCATATGAGCTGACAAAGTAGTGTGATCATGTGACTTGTAAATACAGTTAGAAAGAAATGAGTTGCTCATCTAGTCTTGATGTTTGAGCTTTTGAAACATCCAAATCTTCAACTGTAACATCCAAATCTTCAACTGTAACATCCAAATGTTCATCTTTTAAAAAAGAAATGTCCTTTTCGAGTCTCAGAGTTATGTAGTAGATCTGTGAATAATGTCTGTTACTTGCAAACACAACAATTAAAGCTGATTTTTAAATGCCCTGTATTTAAAAATTATCTTAAATTAAAGATGTCAACAGAATAATAAAAAAAATAAAAGGTGGGAACATCCAACTCTAAGCCATTATTGGTCATGGTCAATAACCATTTAGCAGAATCAGCTTTTATTTATATCTTGTTTTATTTAACAGAGAGATACCTGACACTTTTTCATTTATTAGTGGTGCAAACAACTCAAACAGAGCTAGTACTGATGTGCATTTGCAATAATTTTTTATGCAGCTTTTGCGAATATTGTCTTCCTTTACAGCTCCTGTTTGCTTTGTTTTTCTCTTCATTTCAGCTAATTCCTCATAATACAGACAATAAATACAGCGGATTGTTGTATATTGGTTTCAGTGTATATGTTGTCTGATACATGCTGAGGGGGAAATGATTGCCACAGAACATAAAGCAGTAAAATATTGTTTAGGTAAGATATTTAGCAGACTAAATGATTTCTTGCTCTTACTATAAGAGGGAATCATTTGACACTCTTGTTCTTTCACCATTGTACACTTGCACGTAAAAAAGCCATCCACCTACCCAGAAAAACAGGATCCTAAAAAGGATTTTTCATGACGAAATAAATGAAATTTTGAGAAATAAAAACCAGAAGTGCACTTTATCTTGTCCGCTTCACTAACTGATGTTGAGCCGCTCTGCTGCAAAACTGCACACGATGGATGTTTAATTGTATTTAATTATGCATTTCAAAGTGCGACGGCCGAACTGAACTCACTTCTTACTCCTTTCCTGTAGGTCACATGACGGTACTTCAGGCCGGATACGATTTCTCTGTTCACCTGCAGATGAACACAGTCGCAAATATTTTGAGTATTCAGATTTTACACGTGGTTAAGTCACATTACTGTCTCACAAACTACATCTACACTACGTTAAAGGCTATTTCTTTTGTTTCTGCTGCTGCTGTTTTTCAGTCAAAGGCCACATGAAGGACTTTGAGCACCAACTCATAACTAATCTTCCATTTTCATTGTAAACAAAAAGGGAAAAAACTCCAATATCTGTACGTCATCATCAAAAAACTAGACATAATACGAGTCAGCCTTAGTCCAATATACAGTAGGCACTCTTGTGTGGCATATTTCTAAACTTAAAGTAATAAAAAATATTGCTGCTGCTTGGACCTTGAAATTATTTATTATGAAAAAAAAGTTTTGTAATTTTTAAAATCCGCTATTTTAAAGACATAATCAAATGCAGTCTGGCAGTCCTTTCCAATGTAACTATAATCTGGATGATTTAAAAAAAAATAAAAATTCAAAATCTAATCTGGGCTGATGATAGTTACTTATTTGTTTAATCTGATTTCATAATTTAATCCTGATAACCGGTAATCCATTACTACCCAACCTTGGTTTTGAATAAGGTGAACAGAATCACATGCAATAGAGGGGAAAAACTGGAGGATAAAAAAAAATGCTGTTGCTGTTATTGTTTTTTTGGTTTTTTTACACATACAGCAGTGAATTCTGTAGGACTATGATGAAGTGAAGCCTCTGGGATGAAATGCAACCTTTAAACAGCCTGCAGTGATGATGTTTGTCCAGCGAGTGTCCTCACAGCACAGCGGAGTCACTGAACTGTTTGGTTATTGCCCAAATAACTTTCTTTACCTTCAGGACCAGCACACACATTGACCCCTTTTGCTTGGTAAAGCCACACTGTCTCTCAAAAATCAAAGCAATATGGGGTAATTGGCTTCTAAATTACTCCATATCATCTTATATATATCTTAATAGGAAGATTTCCCATCGGCTGAGTGACCATTAAAGGGGGTTTTCTGGTGCGACCCGAGTTTTAGAAACAATTTCTGCTGTCAAATTGTGTGTTGCTCCTACTGACAACTCATCCTAACACCCCCTAAGTTATAATGTAACTGGCTTGATATTGTTGTTGGTGCATTTTTCTTCTTCCTGTGACAAACATGAGTAAATAAAACATTCATGAAAAGCTTTAAAAAAAATACTAGAATTGTTGCAAAATCCCTCATATTAGGCTTTAAGCGTGCATGTGAGTACGTTTCATGCCCCCGGGTCTGTATTGTGAAATCTGACAGCACAGATTTGGGGGGAAACAAACAAATAAACAAGCCGCTGTGCGTTCACATGCTGGCGGTTTATTTGGAACAGAGAAAGAAAAATGTTTGAGGAGGAAGAGAGCAGAGGTGTGAGAAAGTGCAAGAGGGTAACAAGTGACTACATGAGTGAAAAAGAAGAGAACAGACAGATGAAGCGAGAGAGAAGAAGAAGAAGAAGAAGAAGAAGAAGAAAAGGTAATGCTAAGAAGAAGGATGCAGAGGAAGTGGCAGAGAGAAGCTCAGTCGTGTGAGAACAGCTAACAGAAAAGTGTTCAGAGGAAAGAAGCACTCGTTTAGGGATCAAATCACAGCTCTCACTGACTCACCTTTTAGCCGGTTAAACAGCAGTTACGTGGACGGATTAGAGGTGAACTGGGTCGAATGTGAGGCTGTCAACTATGTCAGGATGAAGAGACATAACTCTGCTAGATGGTTCCTGTTTTCTACCTTTCATATAGTTCTAATAAAATAACACACTAGGAGTCTATAATAGAAGCACCAGGAGACACCAGCATGCTTTTAAAACTGGCATTCAATAAGAACGCTTTACTCTAAGCTTATTTTAGGTCACTTATTGAATTAAAGTATTGTATCGTACTTATATCTTATTGCTTTTTCACTTTTAAGGCACTGGATTTCTTATGTTATGTTTTTTCCAATAGCTGGCAAAACAGTTTCCTTCAGGATTAAAAAAGTTTAATCTTGTCTTAACCTAATTTAACTTAATCTTTCTTATTAGGTATGTTTTACTTGGTACTCAAACATCCCACTTGTTTGTTTTTTCATCACTGTGTGTCCTATTGTTTATTATGTATTTCGTCTTGTGTGTCCTGTTGTTTATTGTTGTTCTGTCTCACTGTGTAAGTTTTAATCGTGACCTGCAGATCAAAATTAGCTTCTGGCTATTTCAAATACATCAAATGGTACAAGTCATGTTTAATATTGTGCATGCTTAGATACAATTAGTTTTAGTATACAACTACAAATATATGTGGATATGAAGTTAGTTCTGCCCGTGTTTGGTCATAAACAAAGGTATTTTCAAATGAAAACACTGACATGATAATGGCCCAAAAGGAATAGTCATCATCAAAGTGATTCCAGTTCATTCTGAGGGGAACATGAACACACCATTTCATCCTTCTAATAGCTGCTGAGACATTTAGCCACAAATAGAATCACAAGTGGAAATCTCATGGTGGTGCTTGAGGAAAATTTAGAGGATCAACAAAGTCACAAGGCTGATTTTTCTGCTGCAGGAGCTCTCAGGACAGTTTAGAACAGCGCTCCAACCACACGATCCCTATGTGGCTTCTTTATGGGCCTTTCTTTTTGAGAAAAGAAGATGCACACGACTTGGTTGAAATCAGAGACAACAACAGGAAGTGCCATTTTTTCTGAGGCAGACTTGCCCTTTTTCATCAATAATAATTCAGTAAACATCCCAGCTCATGTCATTGTTGTATTTCCTACATGTTCACAGAACGTTTTTCCTCTCTTTTTGTAGTTGGCATCGCAGTCGCAGCTGTCAGATCTAACGCTACAATGGAAACAGAAAAGCTGAAAGGCCCGATTTGTGCCACCTGCATTTCCTGTAGTGGAAATCTGCAAATTAAGACACATTTTAATAATTTCATGGCTGTTTATACAATGCTTTTTGCGATATTTCGGTGGAAATTAAGATGTCAATTCACTGGTGGCGCTGAAAGGGAAAGCAAAGGGATCGCCAAAGTCAGCAGGCTTCATCTGCTGTAGGATAAATTGTCGTCATCTCAGCCAAACTTTGCTGAGATGTTTCAGTCTGGATCAGTGGATCAGAGGACTGACAAACTTGTCATCAATTAAAATCCTCCCAAAAGACTAAGGAAGACACACTAAACAAATCGCTTTCTGCTTTTAGAAATGTAAAAAGAATCAATTGTCTGACTTGAGAAACTTACTTACTTACTGACATTAAATGGCATTTCCACAAATCCTTACTGGCACTATAAAATTAAACAGCACTGAAAAAGCTCATTAAATATGATAATGGTCTTGTTTGATGGTGTGGTTTGATTTTATAGTTTGTGCCCCGCTCAGCAAAGTCCCTTTATCGCTTACAGTAAATACCTGATCGTCTGTTACATACACCCAGTGGTCCATCTGTGGTATAATGCACAGTGAGTCTCCTCCAGGAACCTCTGCGGCTCCATCCATCTTACCTTGAAGTGTATCTTTAGTCTGTATTTCACTCCATCCTGTAAGGTGAAGCTCTTCTCCTTCAGAGCGCTCAGGTCTCCTGCACAAACAAACAACAACAAAGAGACAATGAAACATGTTCAACAGGACACGTGCGACATCACTTCTGTCTGCACGACGATGACAACATGCAGAATGACTCATTGTGAAGTCACACTGTCGCTGATTCACACGCAAAGAGATGCATCTTACATTTATCATAGCAGGAGCTCACAAACTTGTAAAAAGAGAATCGTCTTCATTCTCAAACGCTGTATTTTTACATGATATTTTAGTAGACAGTAGTTCTGAACCTTTCTTATTGTGCAAACACTAGATTAGAGGTGATTTAATATATACAATACAATTAAATACAGTATAATATACTATGATGCAAAACAATATCCATCCATCCATTATCTATACACCGCTTAATCCTCACTAGGGTCACGGGGGGCTGGAGTCTATCCCAGCTGACTCAGGGTGAAGGCAGGTTCACCTGGACAGGTAACCAGTCTATCACAGGGCTACACTTAGAGACAGACAACCAAGCACACTCACATTCACACCTACAGACAATTTAGAATCACCAATTAACCTCAACGTGTTTTTGGACTGTGTGGGAGGAAGCCGGAGAACCCGGAGAGAACTCACGCTGCACGGGGAGAACATGCAAACTCATGTCCCCCCCACCGGGACGTGAACCAGCAGCCCGCAAAACAATATGGTTTTCTTTAACTTTCAGGATTTTTTGTAAATGAATGTGAGAGTTTTAAATTTAAATTTAAACTGCATGTCAAGTTTACTTCTTTCTGGAAAAGTCTTTATTTAGATCGAGTGTAATATTGGGGATGATCTGTAAGGGTCTGGTTATATTAAAGTTACTCAGAATACATACTGTTAGAAACTATAGTGGTACAGTCCCAGTGTACACAGAATTAGAAGTGAGGCCAAATACCTCAAATAAACTCTCTAAAAATACAGACTATGGGAACTAACTGTAATACAATAGGGCAGGGGGGTCGAACTCCGGTCCTCGAGGGCCGCAATCCTGCATGTTTTAGATGTTTCCCTCTTCCAACACACCTGATTCAAATGATCAGCTCATCATCAAGCTCTGCAGAAGCCTGATAACGATCCTGATCATCTGAATCAGGTGTGTTGGAAGAAGGAAACATCTAAAACTTGCAGGATTGCGGCCCTCAAGGACCGGAGTTCGACACCCCTGCAATAGGGGCTGGAAAAACACGCCAGTACGCTTGCTTAGTGGTGTAAGATATCATAAATGTGGCTCACTGCATTCTACTCACTTTCAGCCAAATCCGGAGAAAAGAATCTCAAAACTATACAAGTGATGCCTTTTACTTTCAACCCTGCTGCAAATTCTGACATATTGATTATTTATTGTATCCTTTGCACAATAAAACTGTCTTACAGATACGCTGGGGAGGGGGGGGGGTCCAGCGTGAAAGCACAGAGCAATCACAAATGCATCTACTGCCTAATCACTTTATATGTCAATTTAAACCCAACCATCAGCCCTGAGTGCTTCCTAATGGACAGAGAGAAGCATAGGACGGAAAGGAGGAGCAGATGAAGGAGAGATAGAGGAATGGGATGCATAAAAAACAGATATGAGAAGGAAGAGAGGCAGACAGGCAAAGGAAGAAGGACACAAACAGTGTTACGGTACAACTTGGCAGCGCAGTGTGCAGGGTGAGAGGTCTGCTGTCCCCCCACATTAAAAATATATGCACTTGTGGCACATTTAGCCACTTAAAGTAAAAGCCTCCAACAGCTAACACATTGCTGTTGACTTATGAAAATCTCCACACTGTTTTCGTGTTGACTGTCATGTCTTCACTTTCATTAAGAATCTGCTCGCCCTCACCCCTCCTGTGGTTTGGGAGCTTTTATGCCGCCATATGAAACACTTTTAAACTCCTCATTAGATAAAAATCAAACATGTCATTAAGCTGATAAAGCCGTTCCTCACGAGCTGACATTTCAGAGATTTTTCACGTCTCTATTTCTGTCTCATTTCACCCATCTCCCTCTTTTTTGAACTGCAGCATGTAACTCCCCTCTCAGCCATCCTCCGTCTTATTCATCTCCTCCTTCTCTCCCTTCTCCTTCGTCTCAGGAGACAAAGAGGGGAGAAAGGATGCTGGCCTCCCCTGGGAACGTCTGACTGAGAAAATAGGTCAGTGTGGAGAGCTGTCTACCTGTTCTACTCACACTCACATTCACACGGGAATGAAAACATGCAAGTATGCATGCAAGGACCGTGCATGCACAGGCAAATCCACGCGCTGGATTTCCAGCTGCACCCTCAGCAGAAAAAAGCTAAAATGTTACAGAATAAATGAGCAGAAACATGTCTCTCCCACAATAAAATACCCATGGTGGTTTATTTTTGTGATCTAGTTCACAAAATATACCACAACATGTTTTAATTTTCTCTTACGTTTTCATTTTATTTAAAACCTTGGAGAACACATAAAGAAAAAACCCTCGTTTTCAGTGTTGCAGAGGCACGTACAATAAATATGGAAAATCAAATTGCAATAAATGAAGAACAGGGCTATATCTTCATCCGTCCTCACTGACAGGGCAGGAAAGACAGATTTTTTGATATACAAGGCCATGGTGTGTCCAATAACTTCCTCCAGTGATGATTCTTAAGGCGATGTGATATACTGCATCGAAAGGTTTAAGTGGGAAACGGGCTGCCTCTATTTCTTAAATAAAGGAAAATGTCATTGATCTCTGAGCACATGATTACAACATGTCAATATGGACTTCAGTAGCCATTTTTCATTAACCCAAATGCCTGGATATGTATACTGTTGCACTCTTTATATCATGGTCTTATTACATGACTACCATTGTCAATATTTCTAGCATTAGAGAACAGCATCCATACTGTAATTTCACAGTTAAGGAGCAGCCTCATATTATGGATTTGTGTTTAAGAAGGTTAAATGACAGCGTGGCAGCTTAAACTTAATTTAAAAAAAAATAAAAAAAATAGAACAGTAAAGGGTCATGTCATCTGCATAGAGATGGAAGTTACAATTGTGCAATGCAGAGGTAATATTGTTTATATAGGCAGTAAATGAGTAAATATAGTAGGAATATGAGGTATACTATGTAGGAGTGAGGGTTTGGTTTGTCCAACAAAAGCATATTATAGTGATTTCAGAAAAGTAATATACTCTATTTTTTCCTTCCACCTGTTTATTGGACAGTTAGTTATTTAGAACAAATTACTCAAAATACAGTTTAAATTTAAAATATCATGCACAGTTAATGATATGTGATGCATTATGATGGCTTGAACTCCCCAACACAGTATAAAGTTAGCAGTTAATGAGACTGTGCTGTCTGTCTGACTGCTCAGTGGTGCTTTGAGACAAATGTGTTTGATCTTGAACATAGGCAAAGCACAAGTTAGCAGATTTCTCTTTTTTTGTGCAGTAAGAGGGTAAAAAGGTTTGACAAGGATTGAATATGTGAACCAAATTTCATGGCCATCCCTGCAAGACTAAAAATGTCACCTTCACAAGAATGCTGCTCCAGTAAATTGTCCAGTATTCATATATTGTTAACAGCTGACTTTTGTACTTTACATAAGTTTGAATGACCAGTTTTTTAATCTTTTTAAACTGATTTGTCACATTTTAGTTAAATAAATTAACTGAACAGTACTTGTTCCATTGACAGTTTAGATTATGGTAGTTAATGGTGTCAAACACTGCAGACAAACTGTTAAAGTTCCTCTCTGTTTGTTGATTTACCCCCTACAAACTAATTTCTGTGCATCAAAGTGACACATTTCGAAGTTGTTCACAATAAAAACTATCCCTCTCCACCATTCTTCCAGGTTCAGTGCAGATCCAGCACACCAGCTCACCTATAACTGCTCAAACACTGTAAAACTGCTCAACACTACCCAATCACAAGTTTTAATATTGGAGTAATTCAGCCATAAACGTTGGACCCAGAAACCAATTGTGAAAAAGAATGTTAACAGTCCCACCTGACAAGCTTCGTTTTATCTGTTATTAAACCCTGAAAGTCTGAATCCATGCAGTTGACTGCTTATTTTCATCATAATATATATATATATTTTAAAAAACATCATATGGACATAATAACAAGATTAAACACTTCATTTGCACCACAGGGGGTCTTCTACATTGTCACAGTTTCAGTGGACTGATTCGACCTAAAATCACAGCAAATATGCAGACAGACAGCGAGATTAGACATTGGCTTGCTCTAAAAGCATTTATCCTCTTCCCCCTCTGCGTGTTTGCACAGGGAGCGTTTCATTCTCTGCTGCTGAAATGGCAGATGAAATTCAGGCAAGCATCAAGTTCTTTTGAATTAATTACCATGTATCCCCCCTCCCCCCGACACTTTTTTAAAGATCCTTCCCATTATTATATGAATTTCATACACAAAGTACCCCTGAAGTGATCACATGTTACGTACAGGGTAGGATGAATGCCACTGAGGCTGCTCGGTGTCAAGCCTATGCAATGTGTCCTCGTATACGCTTGTGCGCTCAGCAAAAACAACCCTGGGAGCATGAAAGTTTAACAAAGTCAAGCTTGCATTTAGGGCACTAAAGCAGTGACATGTCACAGTCAAGGTGGATGCTGCTTTGTATGGTGCGATCTGGCAGCAGTCCACAGATTTACGAGGGTTGTGTTAAACCTTACGACATGATCATGTGGTTGCGTAGTGACATGTAAAGTAAAAAATAAAAAAACAAATGCAATTTAAGAATATTACAGAAATTGTTTGGATGCATCTTGCTTGATTCGTTTTATTAAACACAATTAATCTAGTGAATTTCTGTCACATATAGATGATGATTCAGAGTAAGTTTTGTAGAAATTGCCTTAAAATGAGATATATGATACATTCCTTAGACCAAACTAGGTCACTGTATGTGCCCACATGTTTTTCCACGGGTGGCCGCGTTTGGAAATGAATCTCTCCTCCCGGTAATCTTACTGCTGCAGCTACTGGGACACAGAAACATAATCT